CAGAACGAGCGAAGGGTCATTTGATTGAACGCATACAGACGAGGTCTTTTTCGTTTCGCTTGGACCAGGACAATCGCGTTTTGGTCGTTACAGTACCCCGATATGCCGGTCACTAGGAGAATGAATATAAGGAACAAGGACGTGGATGACGAACAGCGGGGATCCGCCGACAACACTGGAGAATCTCGGCAAGTCCCTCTGCATAGTCTTTCTGTTCATGGCTCCGGGGTTAGTGGGTCTAGTCGGCTGAGCGATAAGTCGAAGCTTAGCGTGTAGTTAATTGAAATGAATGAACGCCAAATACGAGCAAAAATGGAGCAGTGGATGAAAGAACTCCAAGAAAAACAAGCAAACTGCTAGCAGTAAGACAAGAATTGGAGACTGCAAGGCTCGCAGAAAAAATGGAGCATAAGTTGTCCATTCGTTTTACCGAGAGTGAGGACGGAAAAGATCGGATGATGCAGTTTGTTGATAACCATTCAGTATGAGACGCTGGGGAGGCGAGTGATCCTTTTTTCCCAGGACAGCAGGGTTCGGTGAGCTAGAGAGAAGACAAGACGAGGACGTCCACATCAGGCCGCATTACTGCGAATCTAGACATACCCAAAGTAGAGTTTCTGTCTTTCGATGGGCTACCCACAATGTACTGGAGGTTCATTCGGCAATGTCAAATATACGTTGCCTCCAAGACTAATGACGACGGGCAACGCTTGTTATAGTTGCTTCATTACTGTAAGGGGAAGGCTGGGAGCGCAATTGAAGATTGCATCATGTTCCCACCCGCGGTTGGGTACGATAGGGCATGTACGATTCTCAAAGATCTATTTGGGCGTTCACCCGATGTAGCGCGCTCACCTTTAGATGGATTACTGGAGGGTCTCTACACGAATGGCGTGGACGCTTCGAAGCTGGATCTGTGGAACACAATCTACTTTGGTACATACCTTTATAAGTATCGTGACGGTAAGCGCGCAGCATCCAAACGCGGCTTGATTCAAAAAGTTTAAGGTCATTTGATCGATCCCATTCTCCAAGCCATGAAAAAATCCCAACTGGAGACCACTGTCGCTCACAAATTATTCCGCTAATTAAAGGCCCTGAACATAACGCCAGTTTAAATAAGTCAGAAAACAACCAAAAACATCAAAGTTATTTTACGTAAAAAAATAATCATTGGTTAATATAAATGAACGACCTCTCGGAAGGTAAATGCACCCATACTAAACCTATAAGAACTGCACCTTCCATATAACTATCAAAAGCTATTCTAAATACTACTCTGAAACGTTCAGCCTAAGATCATCGACGAAAAAAAATAAAACTAACTGACTTTCACCACGGGGTCTGTGGTTACTTCGTCGGCAATGCTATGGATAAGCATCGTGGGCATAGCATGAATTTCTTCATGCCTATTTTCCGTCTCCTTTCGGCTGGTAGTTAGGTTTCCTATAGCCAACCTAGTCCTCACGGCATACCCTGCTCACTGCTCTCGGTATGGTAACCAAGTTCGGCGTAAATAAACACCTGCTCCTGTGCTACGACTCTGTACGGCGGCTAGGAATCTACGAAACGATATCTCACTATCACAGTACACCATGTTGTGCATCCATTGAAAGATGCGCTGCTTTTCGAACGCTGGAATACCAGATAGCTGGTTACATTTCTTCTTCATATCCTTAACGAGATGGAAACGACAAAATATCACATTAGACAACGGAAAGTATTCTGAAAACGCGTTGTACTGAGCCAAGCTACGATCAACTACTATAGTCTTGCATTGTGCAAAGACTGGGCACATAGATTTCATGGTTCCCACAGCAGACCTATAGCTCTCACCGCTCTCATTTGGCAAGATAGCGTAGAAGAAACTTCGACCTAAACCGGTGTCATCTACAAGCATAGCATGCTAAAGCACGTACTCGCCACAATTTAGCTGATGTGTGGCGTCCGCTAACAAAACATTGTTAAACCTGGCGACGCAGTGCAGCATAATCTTAGGAACAAAATAAATAAATATCAGCCCTATCCTGACCTCTCCCTGATTCTCCAGCATATCCCTAACTTTTACCGCATCGCTACGTGAATCCGACTGGGACCTTCTTAGCCGTATGGATCTTATATCTGCCGTAGTTAAGGATCTCTGGAACCTATGTGTGGCGGAATCCCTTAGCTTGCGCGTATTTCTAAAATTGTCCATCAAAGCACACTTCCTCTTCCTGTTCTTCAGATAGACGACGATTACTTATATACAGACCTCGCTGACCCACATGGAAGTCATGGTTGTGCACCAGACAACGTTTCATCACTCTGAACTCCCTCTCGACCGCGCGAATTCCAACGAATGCTTTGCAGTCGATGTCCTGCAGCCTAAAATAGGTTAATTACATTAGAAATGAGAGGCATAATTACCTGGTTGCAGTTGCGCCACGCCTTCTGTGATGTACACAGCAATATTCGATGAAATAATACGGAAAACCCTCAGATAGAGTCAGTATCCGACCAACCTTTTTCCCCATATTAGTTGTTCCGCTGTCATTGACCCATAAACGTAGAAGGAAGTGCAGGTAACTCTTTGGAATTCACGGAAGTCCTCAAAGAATCCGTCCAACGATCCATAGCAATTTTTTAACATTCGTTCAAAAACGACCGTATCGTCAACATGAACCATGGTTGATTTGAGCGTGGAAGTGATCGCGCCATTAGGCTGCGGTATTATACCTTCCGGACAAAGTCAGTTAAGGTTAATTAAAACAAATTAAATTTTACCAATCACTCAGAATCAGCTAAAAGCAAAATCTGTTCCATTTCGGCTGAATTCGACATCGCTTTTTCTAAAATACATTTAAAAATCGAGCGTTTTTAGGAATCCTAATAGTTGGGATGCCACGACACTACCGTATCGTGACTTATCGTTCCTTACTTCATATCCATCTGATTGCGATTTCATCCGACCCAAGTTACACATATCCGTGGCGCATGCTGACCAGGTAGCAGTGTCCATTTTCTCAAATGATGTTCTACCTATACAGGTATACACCGCCATTTTGGTTCTGTAGAGCAAGACATATTTTGATAACATCCATTTACCAGTATTATGATCTAAGCACCCACCCCAATTAGATTTTGTCGTTAGCTTCTTACTATTTCTCTCCCCAATCCCCAACCCCAGACTACCGATGTACGCCTTCCTATTCCAGAGTCGGTTGGTTTGGGTCTGACGAAGGCTTGGGGTCTACACCCGGAATGGACAATTTAGCACGAGCAATGGTTGTTGGGGTCGGCTGTATCCACCGCTTTGACTACATGCGTCCGCATTCTGGACCAGGTTGAGAAACGCACCCCTTGCCTCACCTACAGGGTGTTTTAAGGTCGGATGCCTAGCGTGTAATCAGTCCCATATCAAAACGACCAACGCCTGAATAACGTAAATAACCCAAATCAATCCATTGCTGATCGGAGCCCATGAGACCATTGACCAAGACCCTACAGAACTCATTTGTTTCACTACATGCAGCGCATATATATTCTATGACAGTTTCACTCTGTTCTACTTCATCCTATCCGTCCATTCCCGTCCAAAGATCTGCAGGCCGCCTCTTGTTATTTTACTCACTGATTGCCATATTTCCAGTCATCTCATCATTCATCCGATATAACGATTCTTGTTTTTCGTCCTACTTCCACCGACTTGCTCTTTTAGAGCATTCCGCCATCCCGAACCTTTTTCTCTGATACCTTGTCCACTTCGTGTTCCATTTGTATTCATGTTCACTGCAACCTTCAAATTTTTCCTTTTGGGTTTCTCCTAAAGGGATGATTATGTCGTACATCTGATCATGCCTATGCATGCTTCACGGGGCTCCGTGAAATATACAGTTATTATTATTATTATTATTATTATTATCATGTTTAGCTATTCGAATGGAAAGCTGCTTGATTGCCCTGGAAAGAATGAATTACACGGCTGATACTAATTCGCTTAGCACGGTGGAACAAATAGATAAAGAGTTGCCGTATTCCCTGCAACATAATTGGGCGGAGACCGTGGATCGAATTGCTCAAAACGACAGGGAGCCCAGTTTTAGCGAACTGACAGAATTCATATCNNNNTCTGCAATGGCTAGAGTAGCAAGGAGTCACTTTGGGCAACTTGCTAACCGAAGCAGAAAAAGTAATAGACCCGTCCAGTCTATAAAACCTTCGAGTAGGCGTTAACCTCCATTAAACTATAGTGTAAATTCGGTCAAGAATATTAACGATCTACGCACACAACGATGTGTGATTTGTGCTGAAAATCATCTGGTTTCTTCTTGTTTGAGATTTTTGGAGTTAAATACCCAGGAAAGATGGGACAAGGCACGAAGATACGGCTTGNAGAGAGTCCTAAGCACACAGAATGAACCAATCGGTGAGGGCCACTGCGGAGCAACTAGACTTAGGACCAATAATGTGGGCCTGGGATTATTACCGGTCGAAATAAGAGCTGTATTTAAAGAGTTTATTGGGTATGCTCTGCTAGATAATAGATCGGATACGACGCTTATTAAGGCGAGTGCACTACTTCAGTTGGGGTTAAGCCAACAAAAAATCCATTGAAAAATAACTGAATGAGTGGATCAATCGAGGAAAACTTTGTCAGCAGTGTTTTTCAGAAACTGCCTCTAAATGAATCAGAATCAATAAGTGTGGAGCAAGTGGTTGTTATAAAAGAATTGCCCGTTTATAAGCCGGTTAGAGACATCTCTGAAAGAACGAAAAAATGACCCCATTTCGCATACCTTCCGGTAGAATACTTTGATGGAGAAGTTCTGCTTTTAATTGTGTGCGATATACCGGAGGCGCATTGGGTGCTCGACCAAAGGCTCCGCGGTCGAAAGAATCCTTGTACATTTCGAACGTTATTAGATTGGGTGATTTTTGGACCTTCAAGTTTCGCTTCGTATGGAATGAAATCGGTCAACTGCTTGGCTGCAGAAGAATCAATTTTATTGCATCAGGTAATGCGAATGTACGGTGCAGAATTTACAGACGCCCAGTTATTAGATCAAGGTGTTTCCGTATACGAGACGGAGGCTATCGCTATTGTAGAGTCCGGTACAATTTTCGTCGGTGGGCACTTTGTGGTCCCTCTGTCATGGAAGAGGGGTGTCAATACCGGAAACTATTCGTCAGCGCTCTCGAGGTTGAACAGCCTGAAGCAGCACTTAATTAATGACGAGGCGCTACGGTTTCGTTACGCACAAACGATGAAGATAGAGAAGGGATATGCCGTGCCAGTCCCAGGGGAACAGTTACACTGCGACTTTCATCCGCGTTCGTACCTGCTTCGTCATGCAGTACTGAACCCCAAAAAGCCGGAAAAGCCGCGTATAGTTTTGGATTGTGCGGCCAAACACAAGGGGCAATCGTTGAATGACATGCTATATCAAGGTCCAGACACCACCGCGAATTTAGTGGGTATACTTTTGCGATTCCGTAAGGAACTTGTAGCTGTTATAGCTGACATAGAATAGATGCTTATGCAATTGAAGATGCAAAAACATGATAGAGGCGCTTTGAGGTTTCTATGGTGGCCACAGGGTGATCCACTCAAGGATCCCGAAGAATATCAAATGACAGCTCACCCGTTTGGTGCAACTTCTTCACCGTTTTGTGCTAATTTTGCCTTGAACAGGGCTGCAAGAGAGTTCGGTAGTGGTTATGGGCGTGCGGTGCTAAAAGCCATTGAAGAAAACTTCTACGTTGATGACTGTCTTGCATTGCTCACGACATGTGATGAAGCCTTACGTTTTGCAAAGGAAATAACCGAACTTTTGGGAAGAGGTGGTTTTCAACTGAGAAGGTGGTCATCCAACTCACCCGAACTTGCAGAATCCCTCTCGGAAGACAGCACAAGCACCAACCTGGTTCAACTGCCTCAATTTGATTCCAGTTGTCAGAGAGCAACGAGCGTGCAGTGGGACACAACGAGAGATGTTTTTAAGTTCCAGTTCCAACTACTAGATAAGCCGGTGACAAGAAGAGGTATATTATCCAGCGCCAATTCATGGTTCGACCCGCTAGGTCTCGTAGCCCCTCTATGCCTTCCAGCAAAGCAGTTGCTGCAAACCTTGTGTAAATCCAAAATGGGTTGGGACCAACCTCTCAATGCTGCAGATGCCAGTATTTGGGAAAGCTGGGTACGCTTTGTTAGGTATCTAGAAGCGATCAAGATCCCAAGAAGTATTAGAAACGAAGGTTGCGGAGAAGGGGGGAGAACGGAGTTACATGTTGTTTGTGATGCATCCGAGACAGGCTATGGAGCCATCGCCTACGCGTGGTGCGTTCCAGCAAGAAAATCGGCTCACAGCGTTTTGCTGTTCAGTAAGTTTCGTTTGGCACCTATCAAACCGCGACTGGAACTGTTTACGGGAGTCCTCGGAATCAAGATAGGAGAATTGATAAAAAGGGCTCTATCGGAGATGTTCAGTGAGGCGTGGTACTGGACGGATTCAATGATTGTCAAATATTATATAGAAAATACTTCAACACGTTTGAGTACATTGGTTGCCAATCGGTTAGCAATCATCCATCAGTACTCCATATTGTCCCAATGGCGTTACATCCGGTACGAACGAAATATCACTGACCTTACTTCGAGTGGTATATCAACAAGAAGAGAACTAGAGACATGGTTAGAGGGGCCGATGTTCTTACAGAGCTATGTTCCACTAGCATTTTATCCATTATCGTCCCCACCGGATGGTGTGGAGATGAAGAAAATTGTAGCACGCGTAAACACAACTATTTTGTCGATAAAACGAGAACAGCTTCTGCATCGTTACTCTCAATGGTCAAAACTTTTAAAGACAGTTGCATGGATTATTTGTTTCATCTATTACGTTGGAATTGTGTATTCGTCGAGAAACGAAATTTCCCTGAGAGTAGGATACCTCACGGTGGAAGAAATTGACGCAGATTGATAGAAGATTTTAAGAATGGTGCAGAGCGAAACATTCGGGGAATCAACATCACAGGCAAAACTTCAAGAGGCACGAAACGGACACATGGTGCATTCTTTGAGGAAGCCTCGTCCAGTTACGATAAATGACTTGCTTTGTGTGGGTGGGTGACTTAGTTACGCGAACTACTCATCCCATTTCAAGTATCCGGCGATCCTACCCAATGGACATCATGTGATTGATCTTATTATTCGCCACTATCATAGCAGAGAAGAACATAGTGGTACGTCACACGTTTTGTCAGCGATCCGTGAAAAATATTGGATTATCAAGGGAATCGGTGCAGTGAAGCGAGTAATAGTATGTCGGAAAATGGTATCTTCTGCAGGTCAGCAGATGATGGCTCCCCTACCGTTATGTAGGGTCCAAAAGGGTTGGTGCTGTTTTAACTCAGTAGGAGTTAATTATTTTGGACCTCTGTTTGTTTGCAAGGGTCGTGGTTCGGAAAAGAAATATGGCTGCGTGTTTACGTGTCTACAGACCCGAGCCGTGCACTTAGAGCCAGCGGGCAGTCTGAATACAGATTCGTTAATCCTGTGTATATTGAAATTCATCGGTAGACGAGGAAGATCTTCAGAGATTTGTATTGATAACGGATCAAATTTCGTGGGTGCCGTATCAGAACTATAGGATACAATTGAATGCTGGGATGGACACAAGATTAACGACCGTCTTGCATGTGATGGAATAAAATGGTTCTTTAACCCTTCTTTCTCAAATCATAGGGGAGGTGTATAGGAGAGAATGATCCGCTCCGTGCGCAGGTTACTGCTTGTGTTGACAAAAAAGCAGTCAATGCAAGAGAAAACGTTGTCAACTTGTTTTGTAAAATTCGAAAAGATATTGAATAGCCGACCGCTAGTGCCGTGCTAATCGGATGATATGGAAAGAAGAGCACTGTCTCCGAACAGTTTATTGTTGTTGACGGAGAACGATCAAAACCTAGAAGGTCTCACAAGGATGGAGATTTATACAAGACGGTGGAGACAAATCAATCACTTTGCTAATAACTTCTGGCGTAGATGGATGAGGGACTATATACCAACCCTGCAAGTGCGACAAAAGCGGCTTTCGAAGCATCGCAATTTCAAATCAGGCGACATCGTATTGATAGCATCTGAAACTACAACATGTGGCGAATGGCCCATAGGCATCATTGATGCTGTGGTGACAGACGGAGATGGACTCGTGCGAACGGCTGTGGTGCACACAGGTGGCGGCAAGATAAGAAGAGATGTACGTCGTCTGTGTTTGCGTACTGCTGTAAGTCCTGTACATCTCAAGGGAAGGGAGGTAGCAGGCATACTGCTGTCAGTCCTGTGAACTCCATTGTTTCGGGAGCGTAAGTAAGATGGGGGAGCCAGAACAAAAGACTATCAGAGATGACACCGTCCGCTCGGAGGAATTTTGGCGACCAGTGAAAAAGTCAAAAAGACTGAAAATTCCTCTCAATCACCTTGCATTTCCTTATCTTTCTTCGCCATTCTATTATGCATTCTTTCCGATAATGGTTTTCATGTCGGTGAATTTTCTCTTCTAAA